ATTATCATTTAGACATATTCCTTTGTACATTTAACACATGTTAATTGAGCACTTACTAGTATCAGGTGCTATGATGGTTTTTAAGAACACATTGGCATGCATCTCTATCTTAGCCTGCAAATTCCTGCCCATCCCCCATTTTCTCTAGGCTGTAGCCTTTGATGGAACCATCTCTTTTCTCCTTGACCTCACCTCTCTCCAGTTTCAACCCTTCCCCTCTTTTCACTTTTTCATAAAAACTGGAGTCAGAATCCTTCTTTGTCACTTCATATCAAGTGTGGTAATTTAACTTTGAGCTGAAGTCAGTACTTTGAGTGTGTAAGGATAAACTGAGCCTGGAGCCCTGGGAATTGCCTAACCTTCAACTGATTTCAGCTCCTTAGATCTAGAGACAAAGAAGATTCTTGAACTAATCTTGTATCTTCACTGTAGTGTACACCCTGGTTTCTTGACTGGGAGCTATAGTATAGAAGAGCCTTGCTGTTCAATGTGTAACTTGCAGACCAGGACCATTGGCATCACCTGGGAACTTGTTAGAAATAGAGAATGTTGGACCCTACTACACAGATCTAGTGAATCAGAATCTGCTCTTGAATAAGATGTGATTCATATACACATTAAAGTTTGAGAAGTACTGAAACACTGGTATAGAACAGTTTCTTAAATTTTGCAACATATTATAATTACATGGGGACCTTTTAAAAATTCTCATGTCCCTGCTGCACCCTACACCAGTTGAGTGAGAATATCTTGGTATGAGATCTGGTCTCTGAATTTACCACTTTAACCACTTTTAAGTGTACAGTTCAGTGACATTGAGTACATTCACATTAGTGTGCAACCATCACCACCACCCAACTCCAGACTCTGTCATCTTCCCATACTGAAACTCTGTCTCTATTAAATGCTAACTCCTCATTCCTCCTCCCCCACAACCCCTGAGGACCAACATCTATTTTCTGTGTCTGTGAATGTGACTACTCTGGGTACATGTAAGTGGAATTATAGTATATATCCTTTTGTGACCGGCTTATTTCACTTAGAACAGTGTCTTCATGGTACATCTGTGTTGTAGAGTGTGTCAGAATTGTCTTCCTTTTTAAAGGTTATAATATTCCATTCTTTGTGTAGACCACAGTCTGCTTACCATTCAGCTGTCAATGGACTCTTGGGTTGCTTCCACCATTTGACTATTGTGAATAACACTGCTGTGAATATGGGTGTACAAATATCTGTTTGAGCCCCTTCTTTCACTTCTTTCTGGTATAAACCCAGAAGTGAGATTGCCAGATCACATAGTAATTGTATTTGGGATTTTTTGAGGAACTGCCACACAGTGGTTTCTGCAATAACTGTGCCATTTTACCTTCCCGCTAGCAGAGCACAAGGGTCTTACTCCTCTACATCTTCACAAACAACTGCCATTTTCTGGGTTTTGTTGTTTGTTTGCTATATTGATCCTAATGGATATGAGTGGTATTATTGTAGTTTTTATTTGCATTTCCCAAATGATTACTGATGTTGAGCATCTTTTTACATATTTATTGGCCATTTGTATATACATTCTTTGGAGAAATGTCTGTTCAAGTCCCTTGCCCATTTTTAATTGGGTTGTTTTTTGTTGCTGAGGTGTAGAAACTATATATTCTGGGTATTAATCCCTTATCAGATAGACGGTTTGCAGATATTTTCTCCCATTCTGTGGGTTGCCTTTTCACTCTGTCAATAATGTCCTTGAGGTACAAAAGTTTTACATTTTGAGGTAATCCATTTTAACCATATTTTCTTCTGTTGCCTGTACTTTTGATGTCATGACCAGGAAATCATTGTCAGACAACAGTATTCTTTAAAAACTCCCCCCAGTGATTCCAGTGTACAGTTCCAGCTGGGCAATGTTTCTCAAAGTTTGATGTGAATTTGTGACACCGAAAATATTATTAAAATGCATATTCTTATTTATTAGTCTAGGGTGGGGCTCAAGATCCTGCTTGTTAACAAATTCCTAGCTGATGTTGATGCTGTTGTCCTGGGGACCAGTCTGAACATTCAAGGTACAGAGAAATACCTTCAGTGACTTCTTTTCATGTGAGCCCTGAGAGTAGAAGGCAGATATTTTCCAGACCTTTTCCTGAGTTTCTTTACCACAACTGTTTCCTGATCTGCCATGGAGACAGGCTCACAGCCTCCCCTCTAACTCACAGCTGGTTCTAAGCAGCCCAGGTGGGTGCACTGAGTGCCCTTGACATAGCAGAAGAATAACTTGTAAAGTACATCATCTCCCCGCCCCTCTCTTCCCCTGTCCCACTGGGGAGGCCATCAATTGGTCTGCCCATGTGGGGTGATTTCAGATTCCACACTAATGATGGTCTGGCTTTGGCCTCTGTAGGGGAACTACTGTAGAATCCTGCTGAAAAGCTGTTTTGTTCAAAATATGTTTAATGTGCCCAGAAAGAAAAAATCACACAGGTTGGTCTGAAGTTTATAGAAGACACTAGAGAGAGAGAAAAAAAAAAAGACACTAGAGAGAAAAACTGTTGAAGGTCTGCTTCTAAAAAAAAAAAAAAATCCTTTAATTCATCATAGAATTTGAGCTGGAAATAACCCTTAGAGTCTGTCCCAAACTCTCATTTTAGAGAAGAAAAGCTGGCACTCAACAAGACTGTGACTTGTTTGAGGTTACCAAGCAAAATAGAGTTCAGTCCATACGTGTATTACTTCTTTTTAATCTTGCTTTGGGTTATTTATCCGGAAATGGTTAACACAGAGTAGCTACTTCTTTCATATGGCTCCTTTAATTAAAAGTTCACTTTTTCAGGGCACCTGGGTGGCTCAGTCAGTTAAGCATCTACCTTTGGCTTAGGCCATGATCCCAGGGTCCTCAAATTGAGTCCCACATCAGGGTCCCTGCTCAGCAGGGAATCTGCTTCTCCCTCTATTGCTCCTTCTGCTTGTGCGCATGTGCTCTCTCTCTCTCTCTCAAATAAATAAATAATCTTTTTTTTTTAAAGTTCACTTTTTCACAGAAAAGGTAAAAAATCAACAGGCTGGATCATGGTTCATACCCCTCCTGGCCTTCATTACAAAATTTCTAACAGTTGCTTGTATTACTCCAATCAGACCTGCCTCCCTGGTGGCAGTGACCCAAATTGCAGGTATGGTGCCTGGGAGGGACTAACTAGCTTCTGGAAGGTATACCCAATGCCATTTTCCTTTTCTGTGTCCATTGCAGACCTTTTAATCTGATCACAGTACTCTTTCAATCCACTGCCAATCAATTGGATCTGGCTCTCAAGTTGAAACTCATTTGTTGTTCTTACAATAGAGGTCATACCCTGAAAAGACTAGTGACCTTCAGATCCACCCTACATTTCAGCATGTCTACACTGATTATTAAATACTCTTTAGCTTCTCATTTTACCACCCGCTGCTCATTAATCCAATTAGAAGTTTCCTTTATTCAACCAAACTTCCTGCAGAGTTGCTTAACTCTCATAGTGATGTGTTTGCCTTCAGTGGTTAGACAGCCCAGTAGATGACACTGTTTTGTTCAGACATCTCCATAATTTAGATTTGACCTCACTCTGATAGTGCAACACCCAACTTGTGCCATATGAACATACTGCAAGATGTTAGTTTCTGCCCTGGGGTGGGAGCCCTGCCCCTGGGTCTCTCCCCAGCCTTACCAGCAAGGCATTAGGGAGGCTTCTGAATCATGTTTGACCATGAAGACAGTGCCTGGGCCCTCGTGGGTTTCTGGGTCCTGAATGGAGGCGAGCTCATTTGCTGGCAAGAGCGTCTGTCTCCATATGGAGAGTCAATTTTCACGTCTTCTGTTCATGAAGACATCAGCCTCACTCAGCCTCGCTCTTGGCTGCCAGACACACTGGCCTGCCAGCAGGAAAAGTTCCATGAATAAGGGGTCTGCTGCCTTCTGAAGGCAGGAAGGCACCACTTTGCCTGCAGGACTGGACCTGCGCAGCCTTCATGGGACTTGTTCCAGCAGAGCCTTTCGAACACTCTGTGAGTTCTGATTCCAGGCCTGCAGGCAGAGTCTCAGGGTGGTGCCATCTGTAGCTCATGCAAAGTGGGGGTGGAGTCCTTCCACCTCCTTGGCCATTCTCATCAGTCTCCTGGGTACATGCCACCAGCTCCCATGGCCCCAGGCTGCTCGGCAACACCCTGAGTTATGTTAGAGATATAATAATGAATTATACAATGGATTATACATAATTAATTTATAATAAAACACGCACACAAAACACACAATGGTTTAATTTCTCCAAGTGAATGATACGCCACCCGCCAGATCCTGCTGGAATACATTCCCTAACTGATTGCTTCCTGATTTGGAGATGATGGCCAGCTGCCCTAGGGAGGGACGTTGGCCAGAGGAACCTGCCAATTCCCAGATTCCCTCCAGGCTACCTCTGGGGCATGACCCATAGAAGGATAATCCTTCACTGCCTCTATTATTGTTCTAGACCACGATACCCAATAGGGGTCTGCCTCACTCCACCCCTGGGCTGTTGAGAGTGGTTATTTTCTTCATTCCCCCAATCTTTCAGAGTAGGAAGATCCCAGTGTATTTATACTCAACCATTCCTTCCTTCCTTCATTCACTCAACAAATATGTGTTGAGTGCTTATTATGTGCCAGACCCTGTCCTTGGCTTGGTGTGCATAAGTAAGCAAAACAAAGATCTTTGCCCTGGTGGAGCTTACATTCTAGCAGAGGGAGGCAATAAATAGCAAATATAATGAATAAGTAGATTATACAGTGGTAGGTGCTATAGAAAAAGAAAAAGCAAAGCAGGATAAGGGTGATCAGGTGTGATGTAGGGAGGCTACAGTTTTAAACACAGTGGTCAGGGCAGGTCTTAGGGAAAAGTGGCAGCCTAGGAATGGCCACGCCTTCCATGAACAGTGGGGGGGGGGCACTTCTGTGCCTATTCTGGGCTGTTTGGTTACATATTTGGTAACATTTTTAACTTTTGGTTTCAGATGTTCAGGATGTTACTGTTCTTGCTGTTGCTGTGGCTTCTGCCCCCCACCGAGGGGTCCCAGCGTGCTGAACCCATGTTCACTGCAGTCACCAGCTCGGTTCTGCCCCCTGACTATGACAGCAACCCCACCCAGCTCAACTATGGTGTGGCAGTCACCGATGTGGACCATGATGGAGATTTTGAGATCGTTGTGGCAGGGTAAGTGCTTCCCAACCTGAGTTTGACGGATACATTAGTCAGCTTTTGTTGTGATAAGGCTGAGTAACGAATCTCAAAAGCCAGTGACTTGCAACACTCAGATTCTCACTCACTTCCCACTCACAGGTCTTGGCTGGGCTCAGCTGGGCCTCTGGTATGCTATGTCCTTACATTTGCTAGAGCAGTGAGAGGATGGAGGCTGGAGAATTTTTCAGGAAGAGAATCTGAATGCTCTGCTTCAAGGCTTTCTCTTCATATTTTTAAGTCTCCTTCGTTATGCAAGGAACACTTCTTTAGCAGGGGGACTGTAGAATCTCTACGTCAGAAGGGCTTAAAGGTGACCATTATGATTGAGGGGATACTCAAAGCTGCCTTTGCAGGGCATTTCCCATAAGACTAGGCAGGCAGTAATTGTCCTTTCAAAGAAGGGAGGATGATGGGAATTCAGGATAGCTAAACTTCCTCTAGAGCATGTGGCCCACTGCTCCCTTTTCTCTCAAGAAGCAACATTGTGTAGTAAGAAAAGCATAGGGTTTGGAGTCCAAACAGCTTTGAGTTCATGCCGTAGATCTACAACTTCCTATCTGCACGACCTTGAGTCCGTCCCTTACTCCCTGAGATTCAGGCGTATCTTCTATAGAAATGGGAATGATTGTAGTGCTTCCTTGTTCTGAAGCAACAGGAGGGTGTTACATGCACTAGGCATTGTCAGTTCTGCCAGTAACCATGGAGAGGTGTTATTTATGGAGCCTAATATGTGCCAGGCACTGTGGTGCTAAGCCTTTCAATGGCACTGTCTTCTTTAATCCTCTGGACATTATGAAGTACAGAGACAAGAAAAGGAAATGAAATGGGAAGTGAGCTGCCCTCATCAATTACATGGGACATGCATGGGTCAGGATTTGAACCCCAGGGCTCCCTAACTCTAGAACTACTGAACCACAGTTGTGCAGTTTTGTTATCACTTCAAAAATCAGTGGATCAATAAAAACACAAGGGCCTGTACTCTTCATTCTGAGAGGTCTGAGCTTTTCTGGCAGCCCTGTATAAAGTCGCTATTAGGTAACATTATTTGTAGCAGTTGCATGTAACTGTATAAAGCACTGACCTTGTAATTGGAGCACTTGGTTTTAATCCTCACTGTACCACCCAATAGTTGCAAACCTTGTTCACGTTACTTAGCTATACAGTGCCTACTTTTCTCATCCCTAAAATGGGCAGATTGAAGGCTATCCCCACCTACCACACAGGACAGTGGTGAGGATCAGCAGTGATGATGTATAGCACTTTGTAAAGCACACTTCTTCCATTTATTAATTTCTTCTACCCTGCGAAGAGTAGAGGTACCCAATTCTAGACCTCTTCGAAGTCTGGATGAGTGTGCATCATCCAATGGAACTTTCCATGATGATGTAGATGTTCTACGTTGGTGCTGTCCGATATGGTGGCCACTAGCCACAAGTAGCTGTTGAGCACTTAAAATATAGCTACTATGACTGAGGAACTGAATTTTTAATTTTTTTTCATTTATATTAAATAGCCACATTGAAATTAGCATCTGTCTGGGCCTTAAGAAGGAAAAATGAAAGAGCAGAGTGTGATAGAAAAAAGAAAATCAGAAATGGTTGTAATGACCCTTGTTGCCTGAGGTGAGCTGAGCAGCTTGTCTGCTCTCAGTGCCGTGAGGATCCAGTGTCTCTCTGAATCAGAGCAGCTCACCTCATCAAATCCCGCCTCCCAGAGACCTGTGGCATTTCTGAAATGTTCTAGCTGGCCCTGCCTCCCATTGGATGGCACCAGCCTTTCCCACCCTCTGCCACCCCTCCTCCTCTGGCAGACCCTGGGAGCTGACAGAGGACAGAGGAGGATGGTAAGGCAATCATCCTTCCCTCCTCCTGGGCCCCCTACAAGTTACTGCGGTGAGTGTACTCACCCTTCACCTTGCACATGGGCTTCAGGTACAACTCTTCATCACACCCATCCTTGGACGTGCCTGGGCTGCCACTGCATCCCCTGAGCATGCAGCTTCTTTCTTTCCAAGAGCTGGGCATTCATTTCCTCTGTCTTTTCCATGAAGTCCCTCCTTCTCTCTCCTCCGAGGAACTCAAGAAATTTGCTTCTATGTCCTCTGTGTTAGGGAGGCTAGACCATCCTTTGTAGTCAGCTCAGAGTAGATAAGCCCGTCTAGCTTGCTGCTGACTGTGGGGCCTGCAGCACTTTGGAGTCCTCCTCAGGAAACAAAACTCAGACTGTCCTGGGTGTTCCTCCTGAATCAGCCAGAGATCAATCAGGGAGAGACCTTTCTCTCTTGTCCCAGGGAAGGGTTGAGCTGGGCAGGCCCTGTCTGGGGAAGTCTGGGCTGCTGAGTGTTCTTCTACAAGATGATATGGGTCACTCCCAGCAAAGGAGAAGGCTTGCATGGAGGACAGGGTGGTGAAAGTGGGCAGCTTCCCAGCTCCAGGTCAGGCCTTCTTTGTGGCTGTTGTGAAGCATTGTGAATTCTCAGAGCATCAGAAAGACACGTTCTAATTTAAGTACCAAAATACATTCCAAAGGCAAATATAACTTTCTATTATCTTCAGCTTAGGATGATTTGTCACTGTCTTCTTCTTTGGGCTGGATAACCAAGGGTTGACTGTATAGACATATTTAAATTAGGACCTTGGGAGGTCATTTGGTCCACCCCTTGCTTTCCAATAAAGCCATACCTACAGCGCTTAGAAGCTCCATTTATTTAAAGCCTTCCAAGAGAATGTGTGCAATCTTTTTGTAATCTAGCTCAATTACTTATGTCAAGAATCTATTTGACAAATCTGAATCCCTCATATTAGAGTTTAATAAGCCATTTCTTTTAACTTTTGCTTTGCTATTGCCTTTGAAGATATAAACCAAATGGACACCATTCTTTCAAATAATGACAGCGAGGATCACTGCTCTGCATTTTATTCTCTGTGGACTTGGCCACATTTCTGGCTTTGACTCTTACTCTCTGTCATCTACCCTATACCTATATTTAACTCAGTTTCCCTCTCTGTTTGGTTGTAGACTCTGTTTAAGAATCATGCTGCAAGAGTGAAATTTCTAAAAATTGAATGTAAATACCTTTACCTGGGGCACCTGCGGTCCAGCTCATGACAGGCCCACTCTGTATTATCTTACAGACCTTTCCATTAGCTGGTCTCAGAAGGCATTTACCTTTGTGACCCCTGGGATAATGGCCAGCTCTTCAGTTTATCAGGCACCCTGCACTTGAACTTGTCTTAGATTTGTTGACCTTGTAGTGTGTCTGACTTGAGCCCTGTTGCTTTGAGTATTTACTTTTTGAATAGGTTTGTTTTGTTTTGCTTTCCTCGTTCTGGGTATTGATGGCATTGATTTTGAGCATGTTGCGGGTGAGTTTGTGTTGTGTTTCAGTTTCTTGAGTTAATTGTGATGGAAGGCGTGTGCGTGCATCTGACTCTGGGAGGAGCAGAGAATGACCGCCCTTTGTTCTGCGGGGATGGGGGAGGGAATGGCCTGGCTCTGCTCCTCCGCCACAGCTGGGTGAGTGCCTCCGCATATGGAGGGCTTATCTGTTGACCGGCAGGTGCATGATTGCGGTCTGTGCACACAGTCTCCTCCCTGCAGGGTGAGGGGAGGATTTGATCACCCCAAGAGACGTTCGTGCACGCACAGACCATTGAGGATCTTCAGGACTGGTTCCCTGGGTAAATAAAAAGCTCAGTAGCTTCCCTTTTTCTCAGTGGAACTAAACACCCAATCTACAGTCTCACATAGTCTAGAAAGGAATTCCTGTTGGTGTCAATCTTGCACAATTCCTTTAGAGCAGCTTTTGTTTCCTGGGATATCCCCAGAGGTCTGAGATAACCCCCTTACCCTTTCAGTTTCCAACAGAAGTTTTGCTCAAATGGAAAGATTGTAGTGGTTGTAAAGTTTAAATCACAATTTAGATCAGTTTTTCTACACAGAGCATTCATTTGATAAAACCTTGACGCATGCTTCACACTTGGAAGGGTTTCATTTAAAGGGATGCTACATATCGTAAAGCAGTGTTTCATTTTGTTCTTAATTTTGCAACTATGTCAGAAAACTTTTTTAATTTACTAAAGTTAATTGAATTATTTAAAAGGCAAATTGTATTCAATTACCAGATTAATCATAATCATATAGGAGATATTTTGCCATTGTAAATAATAAGAACAATGATAAAGAATGAGATATTTATCTATGATTTAACCAAAGCAGCATTTATGTGTTTTATCATAAGTATATATAGCATAGATAGAGATATATAGTGTGTTTAGTGTGTATAGATAAGATAGATAGATAGATGTAGTATCCATGTAAATATATTTAGATATATGTAGTCTATATAAGTGTATATGCATATACATCTACAGACATTTAACAAAATATGAAAAATAGTTTTGAACTTCCTGTCCTAATTGTTGCTTTGTAAAACATTTTAATAGATTTGATCAGTTCTGACAACTTTAAAATGTTAAACTATGTCATTCAGTTCAATTTATCTTTCTCTGTTAATTTAAAATATATTCTACAATTTGATAACACTTATATGTGTTTTATTACCAAAAATTCACACAATATAGATGAAAGTAAAAATCCATCTTTATAAACCCCTCACTCCTACTTCAAACACATCCTAGTCCTCTCCGAGAATAACAGTTGTTTTCAGTTTGCTGCTTATACTTCTAGAAATTTCTGTGTTACAGATGTGTTCTCAGGTTGCAAATACATAATTTTTGGAAGAATCAAACTGATACAGATTGTTCCAAAACTCACTTTTTTCACTATATTGTATATTTATTGTTCATATATATATAGATCTAGTTTATTTTTTTAAGTTGCTTAGTGTGGACATGCCACATTTGTTTTGCCCCCCCCCTCAAGTGACATTTAAGCTGTCCCTAATCTGTGACCATTGCAAACAATCCTGAACTACACATCCTTACCCACATATGCAAATATTTTTCTGGGAT